GTGAGCGACGTGTGGCGGCCTCAGCGCCGACTGTTCGGCGGCGGTGTGGGTTTCAGTGAGCGCCGCCTCCTTCCAATCACAGCGCAGCGCCGGCGCGAGCTCTGCACCTCTGCAGGGCCGGGCCGCGCTGCGCGCTGGGGCATCGCGTGCTGCAGTCACAGCCACGTAGTGCCCTGTGCCGGCGGCAGTCCCCGCTCAAAGCACCCCAGATCTTCACGGGGCGGCCACTGGCCTGACTATACGACTGTCACATGTGGCGAGCTGATGCAAAGCTGCGAGGACTGGGGAGGCAGAAGGGACACATATACCAAAAACTGGAGAAGAAGAGATGCAATGGGGCTGTACCGGATAAGTCACGGTCTTAAGGGGTTTGCACAATCAAGGTGCCGCCTCCCAATAGTTATTCTGGGGTTTGCAGGCAGGTAATAAATTGCAGATCGGAATGGGGTCGTTTTATTTACTCTTCTACTCGGAGAGATAAAGGTACATCGAAAATATTTTAATTGGTGACCGAGAAAACCAAGTTGCTGCATTCCCTTTCTGTTCGGCCTCCGGGTCTTTCCCGCCCCCTCCTCGTGCCCAGCATTCCGGGACCCGAGTTCTAGGTCTTGGGGGCTAGGTGTTGGGGGAGCAAGTCAGAGTTTCTAAGGTATTCAGGGAAGTGGGCGGGGTGAGGACGAAGGACCAGGGCAATTCCCTCCTTGCGGGTGGTAGGGGCCATTGTGGTGAGACTCAGGTATTATCAGGGGGTACCTCTGGCAAGGAGTGACCCCAGAGGCGCTCTCAGCATCCTCCCTGTGGCTTCCCTCTAGGGTAGCAAAGACACCCAGTCCCGGCAACCTGTCTCCAACCTTAAACCTAAGTCCGGGTCTTCACCCAGAGCTGACCGGGAGCGCGTGTTAAGAATGAAGAGTATTGAGGTCCCACTCCCAGAGAGGCCGAGTCAGTGGGATATGTTTTAAAAGCAGCATCCAAGGTGACTCAGCTGCGGGGCCCCACGGATCGGACTGTACGGCACCGCCCCTTTCCTCTCAGCACAGCTGAGTGATTATTCTGGGAAGGTTGTGTGGATCGTCTTCAGGGAATGATAGAAGGAAACTCGCGGAGTAGGACTTTAAGCCAGGGCTGGTTTGGGGTGTCATCTGGTAGACAGCATTAGCGGGGCGCGTAGCTGTCGCCGGCCTGCAGGGGGCGACAGCACGCTGCCTCCTGGCTTGGCCACCCTCCTCCCACGTGAAAGGGGGCTGGAACCCGAGGAATGCGTCCCCGCCCCGGGCTGACGTGTGCATCGCTGCCGGCCCCGATTCTTAAAAGCCCAGGCGGAGCGCTGGGCATCCCAGCAGATCCGAAGAGGAGGCGAGCGGGCGGGGACCACGGCGAATTTGAGCCGGCGCACGGGGATCGCGGCTGTCACTGCGCTCGGAGCATTCCGGGGCTTCCCGAGTGGACGAGCTCGGCCCTGCGGGAGCTGCGGGTGCAGCCCCAGTCTCCCGACCTTTTCTCAGCGCTTGTGGAGCCTCACGCCCCGGGCGAGCGTTCGTGACTTAGCACAAAGCACGTTTCCAAAAAGCCGCGCTCTCGCGCACACACTCCCACCCCCTTTTGTCTCGGGGGTCGACAGGCCGCTCTCCTTCCCAAGTCTGAATACTTCACGTGGGGCGGAGGGCCGCCGAGTCTCGGCTGGGAAGATGCCCTTGGAGCTGACTCAGAGCCGGGTGCAGAAGATCTGGATCCCGGTCGACCACCGCCCCTCGCTGCCCAGATGTGAGTGCGGATGCGCGCGGGGCCGGAATGCAGGGGAGGGCGCGCCGCGTGGAGAGCGAGGCCATTGTGTGGCGGGC